GACGCGACGCGACGCGCGGAACACCACCGCACCGTCTGGATGGAATTCGTAGAGCGGACAAAAAGAAAAGAGGGAAAGAACGAGTCGATGAAGCGAGCAAGCTGCAGTGTGCACGCAGGAGGGTGCACACAGACAGGAAGCGAGAGTCCTCTTCCTTCCTTGGCGGGCCAATATCCTGAATCACAATGAGCTCGCGCGCTTCCTCGAACCATTAGCTATTTAAATACAACCGCCGACGGCCATTCCGTCTTCGCGGTAGTTACCGGCGGCGAGCGGCGCGGATGTTCTCCAATAATAATATTCCCGATATGCTCGTAACGAGTATTGGATATTGTTTGAGAGCATTATGTTCGGGTAACGATATTCTCTATAAACTACATAAACGATTGTTACGGTGGCATCACAATTTTATCACATTAATCTTCCGAAGATGACGGTGAATTCACTCAATATAAGTTTCTCTTTAACAAAGATTTATCATTGAGTGAGCCCAAATCTGTAACACTTTTGGAAAATCTACAAGTTCTTATTAAACTAAACTTAATATTCTTTTCTTTTTTATACGAGATACGCCGTTTTGTTTTCTTCAAATTAATTAGTGCCTTGTAATTAATATTAATTAAATAAGTCTTACAGATCCAGCAATGGTTACAAACTTTAGCTCCGAAGGGTTAAATAAATGATATTCATGTATCATCCGCAAAATGTGTAACTCAAATCATTTTCATACAAACTGTCTAGAATGAATGGATCACAGCTAGTAGGGAAGGATAGATTAAAGACAAAAAATCTCAATTATCAGAAGGGCCGCGTTAATTATGTAAAAGAGAGATAGAGAACGATATCCTCGTCACGTTTTACAAAATAAGGCGACAAACGAACGGCGTCTATCATCAGAGCATTCTCGAGACTATATCAGGTTAACGACATCATCCGGCGATCTTCAGGGCGTGTCCGGACTCGTTTTCTTTTTTTTTTTTCTCCTACCGTAGACTGCTAAGAGAAAAAGGGGATGAGAAAGAGAGAGAGCTAAATCCCGTGCAGTCGCTGATTAACCCTACGGTCGACAGACGCTGCTTTTCCCCCGGGAGACGATCGAAGCGTCTTCATTTCCTGATTAACTCACCGAGCCACTCTCGCAGCTTGTACGTTCCGAGAGAGGAACGCAGCCGGAAGTAATCCGTCTTTCTCTCCGTGCACTTTCGCGATCGAGAGGAAGTGAGAAAAGCAACGCGCGCGAGAGGAAGAGACGCGCCGAAAGAGAGAGAAGAATGGCTAACTCGAATTCACTTCGAGTGATTTAAAGGCTGAAATTGTCTCTTCCTTTTGTTCTTCTACCTTTCTTACCCTTCTTCACTTGCCATTACGCGTCCTCATCCTCCTCTGTCTTCTATCAAATTCCTCGCGTCGTTATTCTTATACTGTCCGTATGATTTCAATCACATGTCTTAATAGAATGACAATCGACTCTGTGGCTACGTATGCCAGAGATTTCTTTCATTGTCAAGTTAATTATCGAAAGAAGTTATAAAAATTATACGTTTTATATTTGAAAGTTTTGACTCTTGTCATTTTGTTGTTTATTTTTATATAAAGGTCCTTATTTCTTTTCTATTAATTATAATACATTATGTATTTTGAAATGGTATATGACATAAATGACGACTAATTGCGTTATTAAAATATTTAAAAAAATGTGTCATTCGTAAAATAGTAGCTGTCTTTACTAAATTAATAGACAAATTGGATTAGAACTAATATAAGCAACATCTTAATCATTCGAAATCGAAGCTATCGCGCCGATGTTATTATGCACTTTCGCACCGGGTGGCGATCCGTAATTTCACTTTATCTGATTACGTGGCCGACTTATCGCTTGAGTACCCCGCGCTGGAGAGCGATAAAATAATTTCTGCCGTCGTTCTTCTCCCTGTGCGCTTTCTTCTTCTACGCACTCTTTTGACGCGTGCGATAACGATTTTAACATCATTACATTTCGGCGAATCGAGGGGACGCTGGTTCACCCGGATTCGTTAACCGGAGCAGGAAGTACATGATGACTTTCGCGGAAACTGCCGAGACAACCTCGACTAATGTGCGATTAATTTGCATTCTTTGTGAAGGTCAAAATTACAGAGAACGTGGAATGTATCATCATCCAATTAGGTATGATTTCAAATAGCGCTCTCTCTCTTTGAGAAATTAATTTTTTATATGCTTTCTTGTTTTTCATATGCTTTTTTGTTACTTTTTTATATAGGAGCGCTGTAACATAATCTGTAGAACGACAAATCAACGTAAGATCATTCGGTATAGGCAATGCAACGTCAACGTTTTATGAAACACAGAGATTAATACAAACTGATATGTACAAAGAATAGTATAAACAAACAAGTAATTTACGATTTATTTCACTGGACGCGCGTTACACAAAGCGCGTTACACTTGCAGCACTTTGGTCGCATAATTCGAAATTACATATGTTTTCGGACATGCGAACTGCGTCGATGCTTTAGTCATAATCATCGAAGCACATATCTTCGAAAGGCAAAACTATACTTGATCGAGACACATTTGAAGATAACCATAACTTTGCAATATGCAACTGATTATTCAAACGACGCGACGCGGTGCGAAAAGTATTTTAAATCTGAAATTTTTTTCAAATACTTCGGGGCCGCTAGAAGTGTCGATTAAGAATACTATTTCATTTATACGATAAATGTATATAGGACAAAAAGTAGTACAGCGGCCTAATAAACAGTAAGAAAAGCGAGTTTTTACAAATAACAAACGAGAAATATCTATCGTACATATTAACTATTATTTCTTTCGTGTTTATATAAATTATAAGTTTTCACAATGAAAGAAGAGAGACACCAAAAAAACATTAAAACTCTCAAATTCGAAATATATTGTAATGATGTAAATAAAAAATGTGTATGTGTGTTTAATTATCAAACAATTATTAGATATGTTTAAACTTAATTAAAATTCAAAAATTATATATAATATTAATATACTATACGTATAAAAGTTATCTCTAGAAATAAAGAATTTTAAGAAAAAAATTAATGTGAAAAATGTACGATATATAATATATGAACAATATTAATAAAAATATCCGTTAAGAGAACGCTGGAATCGTATTATCGATAAAACTAACGTTTTCGTTCCTGTCCAATTTCCTAGTAATCACAGAATAAAAATTTCTTTTTCACGATTAAAACATACGTGCCAACATAAGCTGTTCCTGGTGTATTTCGTGTCCCACAAGTTAGAAAAAGTATAAAATTACAGTTTATCCATTTTACCTCAATATGGCGATCAATGCTAAAGGAAAAATGGATTTTAAAAAATTTGTAATTTTTTCTTTTTTCCAGCTTTGGACGAATATCGTGGAGAAGAAATTTTTATTGTGTGAAATTACTACGAAGAAATGGGACAGGAACGAAAAGGTCAAAAACACTAGTTTTACTGATAATACCAGCATCCCTTCAAATAGAAATGCAATGAATTACATTAAATCACGGCGTATAATAGCAATTGATCTGTTGGGTATTATCAGATATTATCATTTAAATACAAAAAGATTATTTAAATTACCTGATTTATGAAAGTTTCGAAATCTTCAGTGTGTGTGTGTGTGTGTGTGTGTGTGTGTGTGTGAGCAGATGCATCTGCTCGTAACCGTTATATTCCTTCCTGTCTGGCGTTTCAATTGAAAAAAATTAGTTGCAATATTCACTTTTATGTGACATTTTTACATAGATAATAATAGTGTGTTTCAAACGATGAAACGCATAGCGTGACATTTATCACTAATTTAAAGAAGGTCTCAAAAATCCAAGAACGTTGCAACAGATTGAGGTTTTATTTTTCCAAAATTGCTTATACAGCTACATCCGGTGGTGGAGCCGAAGTAATAAATCTTAAAAAAAGAACTCATCAAATATATGTCAAGATGTGTTACACATAAGCGATACGTGAGACTTTAATTTCGTTGGGGTTGGGGCAGGTCACAAGGTATTATCTACACGCGAGAGGAGAAAGAGAGAGAGAGAATGAGAGAAAAATAAAAAGAGACAACGGCCCCGCAGAGTGATAACGATTGCGAAGTAGATTATGCGAAACGGGTCGACGAATATCCTCCATTCGTCGCCGCGCTACAGTCGTCGTCGTCGTCGTCGCCGCCTCACAGAACGACCTTCGGCTTGCGTAATATTTTTATCGGCCGAAATTACGCACTGGCCCGGCGAATGCGTGCGCACCTCGGATCATACGCTCGCACGAGCATACACGTCAATCGAACAGCCGCCAATAAAATACAAACGACACAATCATTCTTTTCACGTCGATCAAATTCGCTATTGGAAATACGAGAAGAGAAGAGAAAGAGAAGTTTTTATAGAATATAGAGGACATTTTTCATTGAAAACAGAGCTTCGCTTTTTGTCTAATTTCAAATGAAGAAATACAAAAAATACGCTAAGTTGCCCGTCATCATTAGTTACCTTATCGCGGAAATGACACATTGTAACAATCATGAGTTGCGAATGAGTTGCTCTTGTACGATAACATAGGAAAATTGTTTCCGTCAAATAGGTGTCCAAATAGGCAAGTACCTGGTTAATGTATAATTACACAACAGCCTTAACTTTTAAGTGAATTCGCTGAGTAAGTCAAAGCAGAGCCAATTTGCCTAAAGTGTTACACACAGTTGCGGAAAGCTAAAAACATTTGTCATGACATTATAACCATTTCGAAATTTGGAGAATTCGAGAACAAGTACTCTCCTTTTCCTTCCTCGGTAGAAAAAAAAAAAAAACACAAACAATATTGGTTGAAAACCTAAAATAACACACTTAACACATCCAGACCAGCCTCACAGTCGAGAGATATAATACGTGAGAAAAACTTCCCTCGGATGCGAGACGCAGACAGACGGAAAAATATCGGCCAAGTGTACATCGATTCGGGTCATCATAACTGTGACTCACGGTATCGTCTCATGAGGTTCTTCTTGTAGGGTTTGGTGCCGGGCGGCCTGGACCGCGACCTCGTGCCGCCGCCGCAGCCGCCGCCGGTTCCGCCGCCACCGTCCTTTGTTTGGTGATTGTTGTCGGAGCAGGAGTCGTCGGAGTCCTCGGAGCAAGTCCGATCGTCCCGCTCCTGGCTGTACTCGGACGCGGTGGCGAAGCATTCCCGCAACCTAAGCGCGGCCGCCTCGTTCCCGTAATCGTCGACGGGCAGATCCTTCCGTTCCTGCTGCTCGTCCTTGTCCTCCCTGCTGAGCTCGGCGTAGTCGCCGACGCGGACGCTCAGATCCAACGGTTGATCCTCGAGCATGGTTACTCTCCTCTGGCTCTCTCTCTCTCTCTCTCTCTCTCTCTCTCTCTCTCGCTGGCGAACAAGCGCTTCTCTAATTTCCTCTTTCTCCACTATTCTACCTCCACACCTTTCGCCCTACCAGCCACTACTACCGCAGGACACTCGATGCGGCATTCCGCGCGATTCCTTATCCTTCCTTCCAGGTAATCCCAAACGGCGCACTTCTCTCCAACTTTATGACATTGCACTTCGCGGGGGTCCCCCGCCCGCCATCCGACGCGCACAACGGATGTCCTTCGAAACGGGCCTCGAACCTCCTCTCCTTTCCAACGAGGTGTTTGTCCTCCCACTCCCGGCCGGGCGGCGATAATGACCGGCGCGTTACACTTCCGCGCTTATCGTTCGCGATTACCTTTCGTCGCGTCGCGATTCACGGCGAAAGCAGGAGCCGAGGACGACAGAGAGATGAACGAATCTTTTCTAATCGATCTTAATCGGTTTAATTAACACGCTTAACACGCTTGAAAAGTGCTGTCGTCGGTGACATGGCAATTTGTGGCTGCTATGCTAGCGCGATCCTAAGAAAGAAGAATGTACGATCGCGCGATAAGGAAACAGAGGACGAAGAGATCCTTCCCGGGAAAACCGCGCAATGACTCCAACCTGTCAAAGCACTCTCCCTCTCTCTCTCTCTCTCTCTCTCTCTCTCGTGGACGACCGACCGCGGCTGTGTGGAGGGAAAAACAAAGATTATTTCACGGTCGCGTGAAAGACAGGAGATCGTTCACACTCGGCGGAGTCGACTAGATCCACGTTTTTCACTGCGAACGACGGTCGGAGACGCGGTATCGCTCTCTCTCTCTCTCTCTCTCTATCTGTTACCCTCTGATAAAGGGGGAGAAAGGGAAAAGAGACGCGCTGCCGTGGAGCGTAACCGCGTTCGCCTGCACCGTGGCTACGGTCGCCGGTGGCACACTGACTGACTCGGAACCGGGGTAGCCCGCTAGTCCAGAGTCTCGTTCACTCTCCAGACTCTCACACTCCGACTCTCCACTCTACCGCACCATACCACGCCGGGCCGGACTCGAGTTCTCGTTCGCGCACGTCACTCGCGCCTAAGCGTACCGGCCGCCGCGCGACAACTCGGTCGTCTCCGTCACTCGACTTCGGAGCCGCTCGGTTCGTCCGCGCTCTCGACGCTCACCATACGAAGAGGAGGGCCGCAGTCGGCGATGCGGCGCGGCGCCGTGATCACGATCGCACCGGCGAATTACCATTGCGCGCCGCATCCTCGTAGCCTACCGCAATGTCGCGCGGTAGTCCCGTGATGACGTCCTCCCTGCGCAACACCGTCGGTCTCTAAAAATAAATGCCCCCTCCCCCCCCCTCCCCCCAAGGGAAAGCTATTTTTCCGTCTATTGGGATAGGACGCACTGCGGGTGCTGACGCACCCATGCCTTGCGTGACATTAACCTTCGGTCGTCAACGTCGAGAAATACGAGTAGTTTTGGATCTCAAAATAAGCTCGAATAAAACAAGTGAAGCAAATAATAAAGGCGCTTTACGAGATAAAACATCTGACGCGATAAAATATTGGAATAAAAAAACATGTCTGTCTGTTTTATATTGGAATACCAATTTTGCAAACTTTCTTTTAAAATTCAAATATAATTGGTAAAAATTAACGCTATAAATAATGTATCAACAGTTTTAAAAGATACATTTAGTTATTATATTGTTTATAAGCTATCTAAAAATTTAATTCATTTTGAGTAATATTGTAGGAGTACGAATTCTTTATATATTTTATAATCCTAATCCGAAAATATCATAGAGTAAGTCTATACATATAGTTAATTATTTTAGTAAACGCGTATATCTACTTAATTAAAAATGGAATTTATTTGCACGTGTGTATGTATAAAGATGAAAAGTTTGGGATATACATTTTACTTCTATCCACTCTTAAAAGGTTAATTGATAAAACAATATATATTTCAAGCAAAGGCTACGAACCATAAATAAACAATTACAAAATAAATAATATTACAGTATCTAAATTAAGCGATCTAATATGAAATGTATTTAACCGGTTAGACGTTTCGACTTCGATCGAGTCATTTCCAATATCATAAAACAAAACGAAAGTTACAATTTTCTAAATTAAAAAATTGTAGTCGGATTAAATTCGGCAAGAAAAAAATTGATAATAAATTCATCGCGAAAAACTCTGCAAAAGCTTTGTCATGACATGTTTTATAAAAAAAAAACAAATTTGTCGTCTCGCCGCATAAATACTCAAAAATGCGATCGAGTGCAGTCTATTTTCGCGCAAACCATCTCCGTGTCGCCAGCGGCGAACCTCGCGCGGCGAACCTCGCGCGGCGAACCTCGCGCGGCGAACCTCGCGCGGCGAACGTCGCGTAGCGTCGCAGGCAGAAGCAAAGGCAGAAAGTCCGCAACAGCTAGTCCGGCTTGCGCGAGCCCCTGACATTGTTTCCGCCTATCGCGGAGAGAGCGGGGCCCGTCGCGTTGCGTCGCGTCGCGTCGCGTCGCGTCGCTCGGCAGGAAGAGGAGAGCACGGGAATGCGAGTGCGGTGCGGCCACGCGGTATGGGTGAACGTGCATGGCGAGGTCGCCGGGAGAAGGAACTCTTCCAATCCGGCCGCGGTAAACACAGGTGCTGCAACTATACGCTGCGTGCAACGGCCAGATATGCGAGTCGAATTTCGACGCGATGACGTTTCGTAATGCCGCCGCGCCGCGCCGGTCGATCGGACTCTCGTCCATGTCACGGCGACTCGCTTTCGTTTACCGAAAAAAAGCGGCCGAGCGTAGGCGCGAGACACATTGCAGAAAATACAGTAATCCTTTCTCCGTGCAGGAGCGATCAATTCATTTTGTTCGATCGCGAGAATAATAGAATATACATACCGACGGACATCTCGAATTGAGATTTAACTAGGATGATCCGACGCATCGATAGCTTCCGCGAATTCTTTTGTCATGGCATCGCATACTCTGTTTCAACGTTTTCAAATCCTTGTCAATTCGCGGCATATTAGACTAAATTACGTCGTCGAGTTACATCGTTAGGTGAACACTTCTGCATATGTCTTTTATTAGATATATCACTGACACAATATATTTAGAAATTACTAAAGATTTTAATATTAATTTTATTGTTTTTGAAGTGTGATTTTTTTGTTATCTATAATAATATTACTGTAGTTAAAATGAGAATAAACACAATAAATGAATATAATAGTGACAATTTTCATAATTTAGAAAATATTTTTTACTACATCTTACTTTTTTTATTTACTTTACATTTTTTTTGCTTCTTTAGCTTTTCGCCTCTACAAAATTTCTTGCAAACAATCATAGTACCCGCAGTACATTAGTTGAAAAATTCTGCTCTAGTATCACGTTCCATGTGAAATCGCAATGTCAATAAATTCTTGCAATATTAAACGAGTACCTATTGAGAATAAACAACAAGTAGAGGAAACAAAGGCTTTAAACGGTAAAGCTAAATTTTTAATATTTCGATAATCTTTTTTTTCCATGTAAATTTATACACTACGTAATTTTAATCCTGCAAATTACGCCCTGAATTTAATTTTCAGTTATCATATTTGTTGTTTTGACATCGAGAGCTTATTATTAATATTTAATTTTTAGTCTTGAAATGTAACCTTAACAAAACTCGAATAGTATAATATCACAAATTAAATTAACGAGCAATAATAATATTGATACTCATCTTAGAAAGATCTTACTATAATCTGATACTAACGAGCATTAAAACCTATAAATAATTTTGTTGCAAAATATATTACCTCGACTAGGATTCTTGAAATAATTTTTGCATGTAATATCATTTTCGAATTAAAGATATAAATCTTAGCTTTTCAAATTTATTTTTTCCATAAGAAAATTTTTCTTAGAATAAAGATTCGATCAATTAAACGATAATTAAACGTTCCGTAGAATAGTATTCTATGAAAGTATAAGTCGGCTGTGTGATTTGTAATTTCTCGCGAAGCGAACTTTTGCGCATCGCCGATAGTATAAATCGTTTGGATTATCGGCGACCATCTCTCGCTGTCCAGCGACACCAAAGTCTCATGTATTCACGAGGGTGCGCAGGAACCCGGCGGGTCTAGATCCAGGGAGCGGTGTTCGATAGATCGCGATAGATGACGAATTATTGGCCTGACGGAGTCCATCGCCGGAGGCGCAGCCAGAGGACAACCGGCAGCGGTCGATTCTCAGAACGTGTCGCGTCATTCTCAAAAGGATTTCCTTGACGAGAACGCTGCTCTCCGTCGCGATGCCGTCTATGACGTTGCGTCGTACGGCATCTAAACGAGTTCTTGTCAGAATAGCAATCCAGCTCTTACGAACAAATAAAGAAGAAGACGAATGAATAGCATTAAAACTTAGGATCAAGGATTGAATACTGAAAAAATCATATTCAACAATTCAATGAAAGTAAGTGAATTCAAAATAGAAAGAATAGATACCTAATAATCTTATCAATTGTGTCGAGACACTTAATACAACGAATAAAAAAATTGATACAATACTGTAACAGACTCGGATTTGAATATTGCAAGCGAAAACAAGTGTTCAGTTGTATGCCGGAAAAATCTATGTTTCCATACATATAATTTAATTTTTCCAATTATACTTAACTTGACTTACTTATTTTAAGTAATTTTTGGATATAATTTTGTATCCTATCTCTTCTCGTAAACGAATTGTAACGAATTATAATTCGTTCAGAATTGAAGAAAAATATCGTATCCCGGGAAAAGTATAGTAATCGATAAGAGTAAATATCCGTATATATAGCAACAAAAAGCATATTAGAAGAATGATAAATTTCTCAAATAAAAATTTAATTGCATATATATTAAAACAGATTTAAAAAAGAAAAGTTTAAAATGATTTTAAAATATTACAACAAGATACAAAATTGTCAATATAAATTTAATATTGAAGTATAATACAAAAAAGTTATAGATTGATTCACAAGGACTTCTTCAACAAAGAGTATTCAAATGGAATTAAGTGAAAAAAGCGCAAATAGGAGTCAAACGTGGTAATCGCGTTGCGCGAAATTAAATACAATTGTAACAAATTTATTAAATTAAGACATTTATATGTTTCAGCTCATTTTTTAGTCCTCAGAGACATAAATTACTATTATAAATACAATATATACATGAAAACTAATTAAGTCAGTATCGTTCTTTCATTGAAATAGTCTTTCTGTCTTTTGACTTTTAATTGCTTTTTCATTTCATTTTTGACCATAAACGATGTACTTTAAAGTTTTTTAAAATCATAACTACATTTAAAGTATTCTACGTTTTAAGATGAATTTGGCTGACTAGTCGACAGTTTAAGAACTAATTTTTGACTAAATAATTTGTTGCTTAATTGTTTACGATATGGTTGTCGTTCTAAAGTACAGAAAATTT